TCATATAATATTTTTCATAGTATAAACATTCCAAAAATACATCATCATAAACTGTATGGGCTGTCATGAAAAACATGTTAAATGAGAAAATATGTAAGCTACAGTTAATAAATATGCATTCACTGACCACCTCTTTAGGATTTTCTGATGGATTTGTAAATCTGTTAATCAGAAGTTTAGTATGTATAGTGACATGCAATTACAGTAAGAAAATAATTTCATCTCTGTGCTGTGTAATAAGACTATTTACATACCTGTAATACTGTTGCAGGATGCAGCCTATTATTTGAAGCAAAAATAGTGAATAGCCAACCTCTTTCATCTCTTTATGAAATAAACTATAATAACTGTAATATTTTCACACCTTGATTTTACTGTTTTCATATAATTACAGTAGCAGGTGTCAATGTTATTTCATATGGAACATTATTCATTTTATTTACAGTTGGTGTATCGAGTCCAGTATTTGAACTGTACTTAATACCATTAAATACCAAGTTTAAACTTTTTTTTTTGCATAATTTTGACTGTAAGCTCTACAGAAGAAATGTAGAATCCATGACAGTTTAATTGATTTTCCTCAGCTTTGGCAATAGGCAAAACTTGTAATATGGGCCAGTGTCTTAAAATGTGTTCATATGAGTTGCTGGTCCTCAGCCTCTTAATTTTTAAGTCATTTGCGTGACTAGTAATAATGGGTTCAGGATTCGATGACTGGATTTATTGGCATTTGTTTACAATTACAGTCAATTATAACAGCTGACTGTCTAAGATTTGCTCCATTCCTTACTGGACTCTTCTGCTGTGACCGACTTGGTTCTGATTTGCAAGCAAGTCACTTCCTCAACTTCCATTGTCCACTGGTTAACACTCCACAGCTGAACACTCAATTTAATTCATGAATGAACTCTATTTTATAACTTATGGAGGACCAAATAGTGGCCACCATCTTGAACAATTAATTATCATTCTCCTGTCATCAGAGGGATGTCTTTGTTAATATTTGTTGTAGCAGGAAAGCATGCTTTGAGCCATTGCCTAACAAATGGACTTCCACTTCTGTTCATTGTTATTCTGCCTTTCAGGCGGTGTTTACCGAACTGTTGCCTAGCAAATGGTCATATTCATCACGTTGCTTCCTCCTTTCCAACAATGGAGGCTAAACTGTCCAAAGTGGCCGGAGCTCCCACATTTCTGGCTCTTCTTATGCTAACACTGAAAGTAGGTTCTTCCCTTTTGGAGGCGGCCAGCCCCTCCAGAATGTTCACTCCGCGATTGTCCACAACCCACTGGAAATCCTGATGGTTAGTTTCCCCATCTCCAGCCCTAGGGTCTTCCTGAGGGTGTAGTGGAATTCTTTCTTGCTTTGTAACTGCTATCTCAGGACTCGGTTCCATGACTTTAATATATATACAGATAGCATGATGTTATTAAGTGTTGTAGTTCATGGTTTTAAAAAATGTACTGGTTCAGCAGTGCAAGATGAAATTTGAGAATGTAATACATGAACAGTTGTTCATGCTGTGACCTGTAATTTATGCACAGTAATGTAGGGAAGTATTCAAGAATAATTTTAATTTAACTTCAGAATTAATTTTGAGGCATAAATTGACATTTCTAAATGTGCAGTATAATGATCTTCTAAGGAAGCAGTTTGATACCTAATTGTTTAGTGTTATGAATTAAGTGTTCAAATTGTTAATCAAATGGCTGAAATTCAGTGGTGACTTCTTACACATTCTGGTTTTATTTGATATTTTAATACAGAAATGTGTGCCATCATAAAAATGTCCTTTCGTAGAATCTCTTGAAAGCCCAATTTTCCTTATTATTTATATGTACTAATCATGTGAAAGGCTTTCCCCTGCCCCCCCCCTTTTTTAATATTGTATTCTATTTGTGTTTATTTTTGGGGTGTAAAATTAACGACCATCACATACTTATTGCTAAAAAACTGTCAAGTTTTTATTTCTAATTGCACACGATATGTTTTGATCATAAATGGTCATCATCAGGTAATACATGCAAACCAGTTACAAATACCTATACTGCCTGTGCAAATTTCGATAAAACACAAAAATATATTACAATGTTACTTGAGTATATGTATGTTTGTACTGTGTGTACTAGTCTGTCATGACAATTTCCACATCCTTAACTTTGTTTGTATCTATGGAAATGAAAGTGTATGAGTAATGTGGAGATGATTAAGTCAGATCTCACTTAATTTTACATGGACATATGTAGGAAATTTATGGTACATGTCCCAGTACAAATATTCACGGTCATTTCTTAGTATTTAGATATTTATGAAATTATCTAGTATGAATGTTGTTATATAACTTAGGCATTTCATACTCCTGTGATGTACATCACTTTCTGCATAGTCTCTCTTGGTCTGTCTAAGGCAGACCACTACTTTATGTTATAAATTAATTTGAACATTTGGAATACTCTTTTTGGTTTGGTGAGTTGTCGGAGATGATGCTGTGGTACAGTGTGTGTCTTTGAGGTACGGACCAATATTTTGATGTAGCGTCATGTGTGTCCCTAAAGACCAGCTGATATAGTTGCATGTGTTTTTGAAGGTAGTAATCTGTGTATGATCATAGTTTCCCCACAAGTCACACTCTGTGCTTACAAATAGATTGCTACCTTCAAAAACGTTACATTATGTCAGCACATCAGTTCTTATTTCCAAACGCTCACATTGTACTGTATCAAAGTACTTGGGAACCAGTATTACACTGCAGCAGCATATGAGTCCTTATATCAAAGACAAATTGAACAACATTACATCTTCCTTGACTCACCAAACAAAAAACAACTGGGAGACTCTTCTGAGTATTCAGATTAATTAGCAACATGAAGTTGTGGTTTGGCTTAGACTGGCCAGGAGAGACTGTGTGTGAAAGAGCAACATATAGCGTAGGAGCATGAAGTCCCAAAATTATATAATAAGGTTCCTAATAGACTTACTTCATAAATATCTAATAACTGAGAATCAGCAGTGAATGTTTGTATTGGGACAGTTACAGTTTTATACTTATGTCCTTGTAAAATTAAGACAGATATGACCTAATTCATTATTCTGTCCACAGTGTTACGTTTTGACAAAATTTGCACATACAATATAGATGTTTTTAACTGATTGGCATGTATCAGTGGATGAAGACCATTTATAATTGAAACATATAGTGTATATTTTTCATTTCATGCATCCTGCTGTGTTACAATATACAACATCTTTATTATCCATCACAACACCGTCGTCGTTTACATTCCCTACAGTACGGACAATACTTTGTAAGATGAGGCACCGACTAAACAATTAACATTAATTTACTATATCTACATCACGAGCCTCATATACAATCTTATATACAAAAAAAAATATATAGAATTTCCAATTTGTCCGTGGGAACGCAACGAAATTACAAAACCAACGACTGATTCGATGATATAAAACATCAATTTAAAATTTTATTCTTGTTTTATACTACAACTTCTGTTTTATATCATCTTTTATTGTATTTTTACAGCAAGTATTTTATATGATTAATACTATTGTATCCAGTTTAATAGTACTGCAGTTCAGTGATGTATATATATTAACCATATATTTGCCTGATGATGGCTGTTGATAGCCAAAACATGTAGAACAGCCGTAGCTGGGCACTAACCTTGATATTTGTTGTGTTGTGATGGTTAATAAAGAGGTTGTATGTAGTGTATAATTAGAAATAAGAAACAAAAAGTTTTTGGACATAAATATGTGGTGCTTAATCTTATGTCTTGAAAGGGTTCATTAATCACCATTTGCACATTTTCCAAAATGGCCATTTACCTGAAATAATAGTAATAGAAATGTTTTGACAGTGCATGAAAAAAAAGCTAATTACTTCAGTCTGAATTCAGTAAGATAGTTCATTTTGATTCTTTAGATGCCTTACTATCTTATTCTTCCAGTCAGAACATAGTAATTAATTTCATCCAGTTTTATCTAGTATTACTGGATTGAATAAACTGCTTAGTTTTCAAACTTCAGCAGGTAGTAGTATCCAGACCTTCTCACTGTCTATCTTAAAAATGTTTTGCATGGGATAGATATTGTCCTGTGATTTATCACCAATATATTGAAATTTAGGTATAAAAATGTAGTCTTTTACATACTGAAAACTGTAGTTTACTTATATATATCCAGTATTAAACTCTATCTAAACCATCTTCCAGGATGCATCATGAAAAATTATGTACCCACATGAATATGTTGCTAATTTTGTGAATGTGTTAAATTATGCAACCTGTCAACAGTGATTTGTAGAAGTGCTATACAGGAAATCTCATTCAATGCACAGGATTTCTCTTCCATAACATTGCCTACGCATGGTATGATAAACGCTCAAAGATGATGTAGGCAGACAGTACCTATATTTTCATTCAGAAGCATTGAACTTCAAAATCAGTATTTGCTTTTTGTTGACTTTTTAGAGCTGTATTTATAAATATCTTAAATTTAAACTTGTGCACATTATGAAATATTTATGTTATTTTTAGATATGTGTGTAAGGTATATCCTATGCCAATAGTTTGACTAAATAGGGTTGAACTGAATATGAAATTGCTGTAATTGCATTGTTGTGGTAACCATTTTCCAATCACAGTGGAAAATACAGAAATAAATATAGGAAGATTTAGTGATGGTTTAAAGTGAGAGTAAACGTAAAGTAAAGCTATACCTGTAGCAGGCCATGGAGGCCCACAGGGTTGTGAGGAGTTGAGGCTCCCACGTTTTTCTAGAAAATCAGCTTACATATGGCGGTTGGTATGTAATTAGTTTTCAGTTAAAGTATATTCTAGTCATTTAGATTCTCAGTGAACCTAGAAATAGTTATTTCATAATGCTACAGCATGTCATTTATATATTAAGAAACACAGTAGTCATATTTTTTAATGATGAGTTTTGTACCTATGTTATAATTATATGTTTGTGTTTTCAGTTATTGGAACAATTCAAAAGTGAAAACCAGAGATTAAAGGATGAAAATGGTGCCTTGATCCGGGTCATAAGCAAGCTATCAAAATGATGCATCAGAATAACTCAACTAGCCGCATACATGTTTGTATATAGTAATGTAATTTATTATTAATATTTAAGTGTAAGGCACTGGTTTGTACTCCATGCCTGTTTCAGCAGTATTGGTGAAAGTCATCTTGACAAGATTGGTATGTCATTTTATCTGTGCATAAAGTTTTCACATGGTTTCATATGTACTTGACTCATGGTATTTCACATACAGAATTTGACATTATGCATAATTTGTTGAAAGTAAAGGAGGGAGAAAGTTGGCAATGTAAAATATCTGTTGACAGCAGGATCATATAACTTGTATCTAGATGTATAAATAGTTTTATATAAGTTAACAATAGCTGAGAATATATTTAAGCAAACAAAATCAGTTTCAGACACTTTTGTTTTACATTGGCATAAAAGTAATAGAGAAGATTAAATAGAATGTATGTTACTTGGGTTAGATGAAAAGAAATTTAAGATACTTTTTGTCATTTTACTGTTCTTTATTTTGTAGTTTTAGTGAAAAAGAATGTATACTTTTATGGAGTAACATACAGAGTCTTACAGAGCAGAACAGTTTTAAAAGTTAAATTCTTTTTTGATGCCAGTGATGTGTAATTGACATGAACTGGCATCCGTGGACATAACAGTGCATTTGATGGAGTTGAAATTTATCAGATTTCTCATAACAGATCTGTATTTAATGCATGGTTTTGGTTATATGTAGTAATTTTGATTCCACACAGAATGGCAGTTTCAAATTGCTTTTCTAGTCCTTTGTCATTAGAAATGATATCCATATTAATAAACTTTTGAAGCAGATAGTTAATGTCATGTTTTGGTTGCATACATACATGGCAGACAAATAGGAGATTAAAATGTACAATGAATAGACTACAACTACTAGCAGTGTTTATTAACTAATTTAGAATATATAACACATAAGTCCCATAATGAGAATGATAGGATATCATAGCAGAAAACAGTTTTACTTGGTCCGTTACTGTAGTTTATGCCAGCATGGCTATGTCCATACAAACTATCCGTATCTGCTGCTCAGTAGAGTAGAATAACATAACATAAAGAAATGTGGTGCTATATCCTTCATTTGAAAGTATAGATTCAAAAGCAAGACAATGAGAAATTTCTTAGCATATAAGTTTAAGTCTCTCTATTTCTGTGTTGTGTTCTCATCCTGCACCTGGTTGAAGTAGGTAAAAGTGTATATATATTTATGAGAGTAGAACAGGTTGAAGGAGTGTGATCCACTTACTGCCTGTCCTGTTGAGTGTATTTCCCTACTGTGAAATTTTATAATGTGTATGAAGTCTTCTAGATATAAAATTTTCTTCTTTTGCAAGAACAAGTGCCTTTTGCTTTTACTGTGTATTTAAAAGATCACTGTAAAAATTTTATAGAACATCGCCTGAAATTTTAAAAATAAAAAAAAGATTAAGTGGATATATGGATCTTTGAATGAATGCCTTTACTTTTAAGGGAAATTGATTAATTTACTGATGTGCACAAGACTGACAAGTCTATGAACTAGGCGGACTTTATTAATGAAGGTGAATTGTTTGTTCATTGTATTTTGAGAGGCCATGTTTTTAAATGAAAAACATTCCACTTGTTTCCTGGATAATAATGATGGTTATGTGGTGCCTGTGGGTATCACTTGGAGATATTAAAGTGGCAAGTTACAGGTGTACCTGATGAATCAGTTTTTCTTGAGAAGTATATCCAGCACTTTAAATGGAAGTTGCCCTGATCTTGACATATTTTACTACACACATGATCAGTATTACCTGAGTGACCTGTAGACAATCTAATGATTCTGTATGTGTACATGCATGTGCAGATCATCAACATGTCAGAAATTGTAACTTGTCTTTATGAATGTTAAATTAATTTAAATTTAAATCTGCATAAATTGCCCTTAAAATCACTGCCAATTTCCTAACATGTTTAGGATGTCGTCTATAAAGAGATGACCAGGGGTATGATGGAGATATGAAATGCATTCAGAGAAAACATAACTTCTGCAACTTATATAAATATGTAAGATTTGATGTGTATTGTCTACACTAGTAATTTCAGAACATTTTCTCTGACACTTTACTTAGAAGCTGGTATTTCCCAAGACCGCAGCAGAGACAAAATTATAAAGGCCCAGTGGAGTTGGTGGAAAGTCCCTCTTTGAAACCAGCTCTCAACAGTGATGATACTGAAAGCACCCACTATTTAATATATCAGATGTTATTTAAATTTACAAGAGTTCCAATGGTATGCATAATTTATTAAGATATTTGTGCTGACAAAATTACTCCTGCTGTGCAGGTGCATTTCTAATAAAGAAAGATATTTATCACTTGACAAAATGAAATTAAATAGAACAAACAGTTATATATGTTGTGTACAATATGCTTATGAACTGGCACATACTTTACAGTTAGCAAGTCACTACTTCAGATGTTTGGTAGGAAAAGTTACCCATCTCCATATGGTGTTGTCTTAATTCAAAATTGGATAGTGACTTTTGCACATAAACTGTAGAATGTCTCTCTTCACTATAAATATAGCTCATATTGCTTGCTGGGAAGTGACTTCATCAATACAAAGCAACATATTTGGTACCTAGCTCATCCCCAAGTTGTATAAATCAAGTTTAAGCAGCGAAGTAAATAACAGCACTTGATGATGATTATGAAGACGATGGAGGAGGAGGAGGAGAATCGATTTTTACAAGATTTATTTGTCTGTGCTGTACCTAAGCATAACTGATTTATTCTTGTCCATTTTCTGTACAAATACTGACTTCTCAGAATACAGTACAGACACTAAAAAAGAAAATATCAACCTGAGCCACTGGAACTAGAATACTTTCCTTGAATGGCAACAGCTCTGTTAAAAATATTTATGTAGTTACATCTGGCCATATCTGAAGATCTGCTGTGACATATACCAAGTACTGGATGCAGTCACATTGGCCTTGTCAGCCTTTGCTCTTAACAGTACAATATAATACAAGCTGGGTTGATCCCAGATAAATGGTAGTGGTTAGGATGCAGTGGTTACTCCTCCACAACACCCAGACTTGGATTGTGCAGCAGTTTCGTCGTCATCCTCTACCACCACTACATTGCGTCGTGTGCTGCCTGATCGCCTCAGAGAACTTGCTTTCTGCTGATCACTCTCCTGAGCTCGCTGAATCATCTTCTGGCTCAGTTCCAAGAACATTTCTTCAATTCCTTGATTTAGTTTAGCCGATGTGTGGAAGTGTTTGGCCCCCACTGACTTTGCATATCTGTCAACAGAACAGGGAATATGGGGTCACTACTGCTGAGGCTATTCTCCTTTATTAAGAACAAGTGTTCCCTTAGTTTATATCATCCATACAATAACAGAATGGACTATAATTCGCCCAATAGTAATGTATAGAAGCATGAAGGTATGTGCTACCCAGTGACTTCTTGAAGTTTTAAGCAAGCCAGGCAGGTTTTAGATCATCTTAACACACACTTCAAGAAACAGTGGAACGAAACTACTTGGTTATATTTTCAAACTCTGAAGAATGGTCAGTTTTTACATACTCATCCCTACTATGTTGAGTTTTTTAAGGAAGTTAACACATGTTGGCATATCTATGTGGTAAGTTATACAATAAGTTATAAATAGATTGAAATTTCAAGTTTGGGGTAGGTCTTTTTTATGATATGCAAAGACAAAAAATATTGTGACGTGTTTGCGCTATGCAGGACACCCCCTCCCCCACCAGCGGTGACATAACACCTTCAGAGCATTGCCGCTGCTACGGTAATAGGCCAGTCAACACCCCGCCCCCTCCCGTGGTGACGTGACCAAGGGATGCTGCAGTTGCTATGCAGCAGTAAACAACTCCCAACAGTGTTGCTAGGCTATTGGCAAACAAGGTGTCAGGCAACAGCGGTACCTATCACGTAACTGTTTTCTGTCTTGTCTGTGCCGAGGCTAAATAAGGAGCAGCAAACACTATTCAGAGTTAGTAGTGTGTGATCAGGAGTGACACAGTTGAAATGTAGCCGTCGCCGGAGACGGTTGTAGCGGAAAGAAGAATACCGGAACGTGTGATTAAAAGTGATAGTGTGAGAAGCAGATGCTTTGCTCCCAAGAGAAGTAATTGGGAGTGTGTAATACAGTGACACTGATATAGCTCCTGTATCGTACTGTGATTACATGTAGACTACTGAGGACAGAGTGGACAGATTATTGTGTAGGGTTGTAAATTGTGTAAACCCGTAACGAGTGTTATAATTAATTGTAGCCAAGACTTGTAGGTTGTTAAATAAACCAATTAACAATCCGAACGGCATCTTCAGTGGCAAAACACGCTACAATATGTTTCCAAACTACCATAAAGAACAAAGCTTTACCTATGCATTTGTAACAGATATAAAATGTAATTTCTAGTAGATAATAATAATAATAATGTTTATAATTGTGTAACATAAACATCTGTATTGACCAATGCAGGATGAAGTCTCCTTTGACATATGAGATTACATACATATCAATCCAGTCTTTAAAATTACTTGCAATCTTACCTAGACTGTTCTATCTGGCTGCAGTAAACTCCTGGTTATCCGTTAAATAAGCATCCAGAATTTTCATCCAACTGGCAAATATTTCAAAGAGAATTTACCATTTATATAAAGTTGTTCAGAAAAATTAAATGAGAATATGTTCACCTGCCATGCAGTAGTTTTCCCAGCCATCATCATCATAGTTACGTGTTTACAGTACATGTATCTCTCACCCATCAACCCACTGTGTTGCCGAGAAAGACTTCCATACAAGGATTAAACTGAGAATGTGTTGTGGGAACATCCCACATATCATATTTATACAGCACCCACTTTCCCGCTCACTTTTCACCATCACTCGCCCTAGCCAATCACGTTGCCTCCAACGCTCGCATTTATACAGCACTTGCTGTCCAGCCTCATCCAGATCATTACACTCGCTAGCCAATCAGCGCTCTGCAAATTTCACTCCTCCATCACGCACTGTATAAAAGGTGAGCACATTGCTCTCCACAGACAGTCAGTGTCAGTTTCAATGACCACACCAGCCAGCAGTGACCACACTTCCTACAGAGCGATCAGTCTACGGAGTCATCGGCACTTCGCTGCGTCAGGGACAGCTGCCTCGGCTCTCCAGCGGTCTTGCCCAACTCACTGGGCAACTCAGCTTGTCGGCGGTCATGCCCGACTCACTGGGCAACTGGCACAGCTGCCACCACTCCAGCGACCACGTTCCACAACCAGACTTCTTCCAGCAACCACACTCTGTGACCAGGCAACTTCCGACAACTGCCGCACTGCGGCCAGACAATTAACTCAGCTGCCGCAACATTAGTCAACACACCGCAGTCAACGTACATAGCCCAACTTCACCGGCCAAACATCCCAGCCGCACGGCCCTTCAGGGCCTACAAACTTTCCAAAGTGGTTTGTCTATTGGAGTATCAACAAATCCCACGGTGTTATTTTTGCTTCATATTAGGTTTCTGTGAGGGGATTTCTCATGCATCCAGCAAATACATTTGACTGGCACGTCCCATTCCTTCATAAATGTCGGATAACTGAGAGTTTACTGCACAATTTAAGATTTTCTATAGTGAAATCAAAAAGAATCACTTCTATGCTAGCTCATTACATTACATTCTTAAATAAGATGACCAGTATATGTGACTTTTTAAGATAGGCTTATGGTATCATGTATTCATATGTTGCCCCTGCTATCAGTAATTTTTTCAAACAGCTGACAGATTTCTGAACCTCAGACCATCACAAGCCACCTTAAGGAAAAGTTTTTCTTGTATTTAACTAATTAAGCACTACGCCATGAAGGTGTATGGAAGAGTGGATGTACAGATCCACCTTTTCTTGACCTCAGCACTAGTTGGAGGTGAGTGGTCAGCTACACGCCCCAGCCACTATAACCTTGGGAAAGAGCCCCCAGTAGCCATTGGATAGGAGGTTGGGTGGACCCCACAGCCAGTCTTAATTTACTATCAGGAACACCAACATAGTAGCCATGTAAACACGTGAGGTGGGGAAGATGCTAGTGTCACCTGATGTCGAGTCATCAAATTTTGTGTGACAACAGATGACTGAAAAATATGCACCTTTTCTTCAGGTAATTTCTTTGTAAAATGTAAAACAACATGATTGTCACATGAAACATATTTAGCTTTTAATATGATGGTGACAGGAAATTAATGAACCACTGGAGATAAGTACGAAATTTTGAAGTATGATAAATCATAAATATACCCATATATTTATTACACTTGTCAACAATTAGAATCAAGAAGACAGTGAGAAATCTTAGGTTGTATCTTAAGAATTTAATGAACTCAGAATCTCTATTAGTGAAAACTGTACATGATATGTATTGCTGAAGAATGTAACTACTAATTTGTGGAAAGAACATATGAAGAAGCAGATATCATAAGTCCCCAGAACTTCTTGCTTCATGTTTCAGTAAGTTCAAAATGACATTTGCACATGAAACATGGCCCCATATTCTGAAAGAACATGAGTTTCTAGTATTTTAAAACAAATGTTCAAGAAACTGTCTGCATATAGAAAGAATGAAATAAGAGCTGTTAACATATGCTTGGGTGGAAGGGACAAGACATACACACACTTCTATGGAAAAAATTCTTAAAAAGAGTGCCGAATTTGGCTGCAAATGTATTGTACATGTCATTGTTGTGTTTTATAATAATATTATGGGTAAAAGGGAAAGTCCCTGTGCTTAACTAATTAAGCACTACACCATGAAGATGTATGTGGGAGCTTATGTACAGACCCACATTTTCTTAACCTCGGCACTACATTGAGGTGAGTCATAATATTATGGGTATCAGGTTTAGATATGAGCTACCAATATGAGATTTCCTGGCACCACCTCATTTGTTCCAAAAATCATATATTCCGAAAAGTTATGTCAGTTAACTTACTCCTCTGCATCCTTAACTGAAACATTTCTCTGTTTCTCTAGGTCTACTTTATTACCAGCAATAATTAGACAGATCTCACTCCCAAGCATCTTCTTCAATTCCTTTACCCAGTTCTTAACCTATAAGAGGGAAAAGAATCATAAAGTAAACCAGTTTTCATTTCAGGGTAGAACAATCTTTAAATTGCCCATCATTCTCAAGTTTCAGTATTATTAAAAATGGTATAAATGTAACTCACAAAAGAAAGAAAGAAAGAAAGTATGTTAAAAGTTATCAGTCCTTCAGCACCAAGCCTTGTGTAAAAGTCACTTCAGTGTCCCAAGGGATCCCTGGATTCTGCTCATTAGTCAACTTTTCGTCTCTTCAGAGAAAAGTTGGCTGATGAGATCACCGCACGAGCGTGCACCCCCCCCCCCTCTCCAGCCCCTCCCCCTTTAAATCTCTGAACCAACTGACTAATTATCATGAAATCTGGGATGTAAGTTACACCTTTGTAAGATATTCCAACCTCACACTTCTCAATTTCTACATCAGGTAATAACATGGCAGACGCACAAACTTACGAGATCAGAATTACCCTAGTGCTGTTTAATACAGGATACAGAAATGATGTATGGTAATAGATATTCAACAAATATGCTTTTTTTCTTAATGCAATTTTTCTGTTGAATGTAAAACAACGAAATGGCGGATGCACTAAATCTATATTTAACTTTTGACCTGGTAGTGATAACTAATTAAGTAGTCAATGAAGACATATGAAATATGGTATGGAGCTGGATCACAAACATACCAACAAACTCTGTATGAAATAATGTTTGTAAGTGAACAATTACAAACATGGTAACAGTGTGAATGTCTACATTATATCTCTCAATCTTAACATAATAACTTTCCCACAAAGTAAATACCATTATCACCTGGATTTAAGGTTCTCACAGCAGTGTTTATGAAGAGTTCTATCTTCTGGGATATTTCTGCTTGCTACCTGCTTCACGCTGGTTTCTTGCTGCAACCCTGAAGATGGAAGTGACATGTTCTCTGAAACGTCAGTAGACTTTCAACAGACTACATGGCATTATATCCCAGAAGATATAACTCTTCACTGTTGTTGTTCTTGTCATCATTATAACAACAGCATATTTGAAGACGCATGGAAAGAAATTCTTACTTGATTATATAATGTCTGTAGAAACATTACAGTTACATAAAAATTGGTGCAACTGAGGATAATGTAATACTGACATGTTTCACATGAATGACAATCACAAATCAAGATAACAAATAAATGACCACTACAGAGACAAGTGAAGGAATATGTACAAAACTGAGCTGGGAAAGAGTCTACCTATTGGAGGACAGAGAAGAATGAGGAGAGTCTCTTATAAGAAGGTGTCTCCTGATGGAGATGTTGATATGGTGATGACAATTTCCGATTTAAATAACATTACAAATATATTATACTTAAGCATCCTGTTGCACTCTACACGATAAATGATACAAACTCCGTCCCAAGTGCAAACAATATATATTATATGTCTTTGGTCTTGTTCTCTTCCACACTACATGTTTCGGCCTCTATCGGCCATCATCAGGTGTATACTCTTAACGTTGCTGCTACACTGAACCCAGTCTAAAATTTAACATTTAAAACACATCGTTATTTTCTTCGTATTATCAATAGACTATACACATACCCAATAACAGAAAAAGGAAAACAAATAGAGAAGAACACTATTAAAAACATATTACATAACAACGGATACGGCACAAACATAATCAAAAGATTAAATCAGACAACACGAAAACAAAAATCAAACACACATGACGACGAACAACATAAAACAAAGTGGGCCACATTTACATATAGTACAAAAGAAGTGAGAAAAGTTACAAAACTTTTCAAAGACACACAGATAAAAGTAGCATTCCGCACACGAAACACAATAGGAAATATACTCAAACAAAAACCACAATTAGATAAATACAATAAAAGTGGCATATACCAAATGAAATGTGTAGATTGCCCATTGAAGTACATTGGGCAAACAGGCAGAACATTTAACACTAGATATAAAGAACATATACATGATATTAGAAATAATGATAGCAATTCCGGGTACTCAAATCACATACTAAATACAGGACATGCATACGGAACAATAACAGACGTAATGGAAGTTGTAACAACGGGAAAGAAGGGCAGACATTTGAATACATTAGAGAAATACCATATATATAAAATAAGTAAGCAAGGCCTACACATGAATGATACACACATAGAAACACACAATCCCATATTTCAAACGATACACGAAATCTACTCAGACTAATGGTACCTCTCTCTCCCCCCTACCCATTCCACCCCTACACTCACTAACATAAAACTCAGCACACAATACATCAGACAGCACACATAGTAAAGACAAGCAGCGGCACGCACACAGGAAGACTACACTGAGTAAGTACAAATAACAATATACACACATAAGAAAATATTACGTACATAAAATAATAATACGAATATTTGTATATTACAGATAACACCTGTACAGTGTGGAAACAAGAACTAGCCGCTCCAGCACTTTAGACATAGGGCGAGTAACCCTAACAATTTTAAATTTTAAATTTAAAATTTAGAGAAATTTTAAAGGATTTTAAAATCATAACTAAAGATTTTATAGTGCTACTACAGGAAAATCAAATTTGACGTGTGCAATATAATCTACATACCAGACACATATCAACGAGGTAGACGCTGATAATACGAAGAAAATAACAATGTGTTTTAAATGTTAAATTTTAGACTGGGTTCAGTGTAGCAGCAACGTTAAGAGTATACGCCTGATGATGGCCGATAGAGGCCGAAACATGTAGTGTGGAAGAGAACAAGACCAAAGACATAATATATATTGTTTGCACTTGGGACGGAGTTTGTATCATTTAACATTATAAATATTGTTCCTGCCTACTCTTTTTCTCCTTAGTTTTAACAACATACCTTTTGAAATGAGTCTTCATCTGTAATGTCATACACCAAAATTGCTCCATTAGACATCCGGTAATATATTGGGCCCAAGGCGTGAAATCTTTCTTGACCTGCTGTATCCCATATTGACAAGTTGACTCTCTTCCCACCAATGTTAATTTTCTTATTTAGAAAGGATGCCTGAAAAATACAGAACACAGAGTGAACCGAGTATCTTGTTTCTATCAATTTTTGACAGTCCTGCTCATTTAACACATGAAGGGCTGTGTACTTATATCAGAAACAATGAATAAGAACATGTTAATTAGGTGAGGCTCCTTCTGCTATTGAAGCTCGATGGTGTAGCACTCTTATCATAAAAACATGCCTGCTGCTAAACATGAGTCTAGACAATTCTCACAAGCAATACTATCAGTCTTTTTTCATACTTTCCTCCCATCACTGGCTAGGTATTCCCAGTGACCATGTCTATGAAACTTTTTTTCCTCATACATTAGTCTTGTAACAGGCTGGTTTTCACTTTTATATATTACTGTCATCTGTAATGGAAGTCTAAACAATTCTGACCACCATACTCTCACATAACACAGAAGTTTATGTCCTTGATAGTCTGTACTTAATACTGCACTTCTACTGAATAATAAATGGTCAATTGAAGCTAGTATATGCAGAGACAAACTGTGTATTCTTCACAATATTTCAGATATGCATCCAGGCAGCCACCACTGATGTCATCATATTCCCAGCAGTTTTCTGTTATTCGTTTTAAGTCCAGTGTGATACTGCAGATCAATAAGTTAATATTGCTCCATTTTAACAAGGTATAAACTATGTGGAAAGAAAACATGCATGTCGTTATAATACCACACTGCACAGAAATGGTAGTAATAACACAAGAAATTAAATAATCGCTAACCTTGATATATTCCACTCCTAATTCTACAAGCAGGAGGGCTAAAAATTTACACTTCAAACAAATTCATCCCATGACATACTTGACAATTTATTGTACTAAGATTTTAGTATCTTTGTCTGTTGAGCGTCAAATAATTGGATAACTTGTGAATGATGAATTGGAAAGGATTTGGAAAGAGGCGGACACACCCTAATCGAGATACTGGCCTAGCATTTACCCGGAAGAACTGAGCAAACCCATGAAAATCCCAGTCAGTATACCAAATATCCCGGCAGAGATTCGAACCGAGCACCTCGGAACTGAAGAGTAGAGCGTTATAGCTACGCCAAATTGCTCGGTCGCATAACATGACTGCACCGAAATCTGTCTGGGAGTACAAACAGAATATAACACCAATATTTAAAACCAAAACTCATCCTAATATAAAACTAACTTGTAATGTGGTAATGTGCTTCTCATTAAATGTATCCTCTACGTATCTCAGCACAACAGAAGTCTTTCCCACACAACCTTCACCAAGCAACACAACTTTGAAGTTATAACTCCCACTGCCTGATACCATTCCAGTTGTTGTAGCCATGATCTATAGACCAACAAAATATAACCGAACACCTACAAACGTTCCCAGTTAATACAAACAAATCATATATTTTGACATTTTGACGTTAGACAATATTCCATTTTCAATCAGCTGTTGGTGGATTGCACAGTTCTTTCAATTGGTCCTTCAACACAATTACAAGAGATTACAAGGATTAGAAGTACAAGTGACATCTACCAACGAAATCCTGGAACCAGTACTCGGTACACTGATTTCATCGGGTATACCAACACTGTTCAGACCGTTCAGACCGATTAGACCGATCGGACTACTACAAACGCTGTGGTTACAGATCATTTACCCTTCCATGAGTAATTAGGTGTTAATTAAATGAAAACTAACAGTGTAGGATTTGAGGTTCTCACAGCGGTGTTTATGAAGATATAACACCGTGTAGTCCGTTGAAAGTCAACTTGCCGCCTTGTCGGCCTGCCACCTGTCTTCACGTTGGTATCTTGCTCGGTTGATTCGACCCCGAGAAAGAAGACGATATGTTCCTCCGAAACGATGGTTTGGATTTCGGCAGACTACATGGCGTTAAATCCCAGAAGACAGTACCCATTAAAACTGATATTAACAGTAATTTTAAATATAAGAAGTAAGTGTTCTCACAACAACGAAGTATTAGATACAACTATGTCATCATATGTTATCAGAGCACAAGAATTACACAGATCGATGAGTTGAGCGTAAGCGAGCGAGTAAAAGCAAATAAAAGACATAAGAGAATGAAAGCACAAGTACGAGAATTCAGGATTTCCGCTGGTGATGAAAATCTTGAAGTAGTAATTTACGAAGTTTTATAAAGTCTTACATGAACCCTAATTTAATAACATTTGAGATCATTGTTTTCACCACAGACCTTGTTAACAATCCATGGAAATAATACGAGGAGTCGTCCACCTGTACAGTTCAATTTAATGCACATTTTATCTTTATTTTCACATGATATTCTATTTTCTATTTAGAGGATGCGCGATTGCGCGTGCACAAACACACACACATACACACAAAATCCATTGTATTGAATAAAGGAATTTTATCAGAAACCTTTGCAATTGATTGCATTTGAATACAGTAATTTACAAAATCGGTTCTTGGCTTTGTGTGTGTGTGTGTTTTCACAAACACCTACATTAGTGAGTCATATGTCTAATTACTTCTTCACAATGTCTTTTTGGGCCCATTGTCAGTTTTATTACTAAGCTAAGGAAACAGGTTAGTGTTTTTAATCGTTTCTGTTTTGCGGCTGTAGACGATCGTTACGAACGTTACGCGTTGCACATCAAATGCAAACTCTACTTCTAGCTCGATCTCAGAGTACCAATTGACGGGCATCAAAACAAACATTATGTAATTGCGATTTGAGACCTACACTGTAGTCAGTGTTAAGATAAAGGTCTTCTAAAATATGACGCCGCGTGGTGTCATTTCGTTTCATTTTTTCATTTCATTTATTTACATGTCAAAAATCCTTTACAAGTTCGTAAGACTCAGGATATAGACAATAGTCCAATATAACAATTAAATATAATAATTACAAAAAATATAATACATGTTAAAATATTTATGTAAACATAATTTTAAAATTATAAAACTTGTAATTTAACTTTTCATTAATTAAGTATTTAATCCCAATAAAATCAATTATCAATCTTCTTAACCGTGTAATCAAAAAATTCATCAATACCATAAAATGAATGTAAATGGAGAAATTGTAATAGTGCTTTCTTGAATCGATTTTTGTTTTTGGATAACTGTTTTATTTTGCGTGGAAGACTATTATAAATTTTGATTCCAAAATACTGTGGACCTTTCTGAAATGCTGTTAGATTTGATGAGGGGAGATGCAAATTTGAACTATTTCTTGTTACAGTTGTATATATATCTGAATTTTCTACAAATAAATCCATATTATTAACTACAAACATCATCAAAGAATATATATATTGAGAGGGCAGTGGTAATATTTTCAATTGTCTAAAGATTTTTTTACATGAATCTCTGTTTCCAGCTCCCACCATTATTCGAACAGCTCTCTTCTGCAATTTAAAAACGCACATACTGAGAGTTCTATTTCCCCAAAAAATCAAACCGTAAGACATCACTGAGTGGAAAAAGGCGTAATACACCATTTTAAGGGCATCAATATTTAAATACTGTTTGGTTTTCCTAATTATGTAACAGGCTTTATTTAATTTACCTATAATTGAATCTATATGCTTTTTCCAAGATATTGTGTTATCCAGTGTCATACCCAAGAATTTTACCTCATTTGACTCTAATAAAATTTTGTTTCCATATTCAATATTTAATTTTTTGGTAAAATTATGTTTAGCTGAGAAATTTACACAGCAAGTCTTGCCTAAATTTAATGAAAGCATATTTGAATTAAACCATTCATTCATCGATCTAAACACCGTAGTAAGTTTTTTTTCCAGCTGCATAAAATTTAATTCATTTACTATTACACTTGTATCATCGGCAAATAGCACAACTGATGTATGTGATGGGACAGAACACTGTATAAAGGAGGGTAAGTCATTTACATAAATCAAAAACAATAGCGGACCCAAAATCGATCCTTGAGGAACTCCTTTATCAATTTTTCCCCAATTAGATAACTTATTGTTAAATTTTACTCTTTGGTATCTATTTTCTAAATATGACTCAATTAGAGAATACATCACACCGCTTACACCATAATATTTCATTTTAACCAATAATATACCATGGTCCACACAATCAAAAGCCTTCTCCAAGTCAAAAAATATACCACCACTTTTCCTTTTATTATTTAAGGCCATCAGTATATCATTTGTTAATTTGTAGGTTGCATTTATAGTTGATGTGTTCTTCCTAAATCCAAACTGACAATTTGAAAGGATATTATTTGTAATAAGGTGAGCCATTATTCTCTTATATATAACTTTTTCGAAAATCTTAGAGAAAGATGGTAATAGAGAAATTGGTCTAAAATTTGATACATTATTTTTATCACCTTTCTTGTATATAGGGGTAACAATCGAATATTTCAGTCTACTTGGAAAAACACCTGTAGATAATGACTTATTTATAATACAACATAATGGAGAGCTAATAAAGGGTGTACTAATTTTCAATAATTTTATGGATATTTCATCGTAACCACAACTGTTTTTCCAGGGAAAATTTTTTATAATTTCTTCAATTTCGCCTGTAGAAGTATTGTGAAATATAATGTTATCATACTGAAAATTTAGAATCTGCGATAAGTTGAATGGAGAGTAAGTAGTGCTATTAGTATTTAAACTATTATTACTCTTAATTTTACCAGAGATACTTTCAGCAATTTTTAAAAAGTGATCGTTGAAATTCTCAGCATTAATTTTTATGGAAGCTTCTTCACAATTTGTGTCTATATCTCGTTTATCAGTTTTGTTGTTATTTACTCCCATATCACTTTTTATAACATTCCATGTTGCTTTAATCTTATTGTGAGCATAGATAATTTTATTATTGTAGTTCAACTTTTTGGCAGCTTTTATTATTTTTGATAAGATCTTACTATACCTTAAATAGTAATTTCTCAGTTTCTCATCATTATTAGACCTCATTAACAAGTATAGCTCCTTTTTCCTTTTGCAAGAATTTATTATGCCTTTTGTTATCCATTGATTATTTGACTTTCTTTCATAGACTTTTATTTTAGGGAAACATGAATAAAAAATCTGCAGGTATGTATTAAAAAAAGAATTAAAAATATCATTCACATCTTTGTTGGTGTTATCAAATATGGTTTATCAAATATAGACAGGTATGGACATTTCGGAGGAACCTTCTGCGTACATCTTCACGGCAATCACTTTTTCTGCCCTAAAAGATGTAGGTACGAAGCACTGGTCACGAAGTTACAGGTTCTTAAACGCTGGAACTCATCAGCCTATTACAGTGTGTCACATTCCTGAATTCCTGAAATTCATAAACGTAATTATGTTCTCATCTCTGGGGAAGCAATGTACCTTGGTCATCTTTTTTTCTTTTTTCCTTGTCACTACAGCTCAAGTGGGCCTAGGCCTGCCTCCATGAACATCTCCGTTTTGTTCGGTTTTTCTAGATCTTACACATTCGGTAGGACTCCTTGGGCGGGTGATCAGCTCGTCGCAAGGCCTCTACCTATACACAAACACAGAAAATCGCGCGCACACACACTACACATCCATGCCCTGAGTGGGATTCGAACCCACGATCCCGGTTTCCAAACGAGAGAAGGCAGTACATGCCTTAGACCGCTCGGCTACCGACCTTGGTCATCTAGGTGTTGGAATAATCTTTGGTACGAAACTGGCACCTAGAATATTCAGACTTCTTGAAAATATATTATCTTATTGTAGCAAAATTACTATTAATTAAACTTTATTCGATTTTTTGACCTCGAATATGTTGTATTTATTATGCTCATTTTCACTGATTATAATTTATAATCGTTTAGTTTGATTCTTGATTATTGTTGATTTTATGTTCATGAAGCCTGCGCAACACACCTGCGCAGTTAAGCTCTTGAATGTAGCCGTCACCTGTGTTGAAAAGGTAAGCTGACAACCGTGCTTAAAAATGTTAAATTTTAGGTAATAGTATTACAGGGCATTAGAGGTACATTGAAAATATTATTACAAATATTGATGGTGTGTTTTTATGCTAATTGTCATCTTAAATTAGTGTTATATTTCTTTGTCCTTCTGAAATGTAAGCGGCGTCTAAACGATCTCCATTATGCGATTCATGTACAAAATGTGTATCCTTTGAAAGGGTCAAAAGACGTGCAGTTGTTTTATCAGACTGGATATTTGATTTTATGTAGTACGTAAATTTTGTTACTAGTTTAGGAATTCTTTTCATAATTTGAAAACTTATTTTAAGTGGATGTTTCCGTAAAACGTGAGAGCTATTGGAGTCACCTCTTACCAGGTTACAGTGCGATGAATGTTTTGTAATAGTGTAGTTTACACAAATATGCACCTTGAAGGTATGATGTATGGGATTAGGTGTCCATAATATACATTTGTTTGTGAAATTGTTTACCTTTGCGAACATATTTCCTGATGACGTCAAATTGTGGAAGAAAACGTTCCATATTTATTCTGTAAGGTGGGTTTATGTTTTAGCTTGATATATAACGTCGTTTGAA